ACCGAAGGGGCTACCACAAACTGAGGAGAAGATGGGAAGGCACCCCGATCAAGGACCAGGATGGCTCAGGCGACGCATGAGCAGGCCGGAGGTGAAACAAAACATGAGAAAGTGTACAAAACGGGGCAGATGTGACGTCCACCCCGAACGTAAGCCGGAGTGGCTCCGCCAGCGCCGCACAAAACGAGGCGACAGTAAGAAACATTAAATAACTGTAGTCCTGAAAACCCAAGAAAGGACAAGACAACCCGATGCGAAGGAGAAGACAACCTACGAAGAGCAAGAAAAAGTGCATATTAACACCAGATATGACATATTGTCGCCGAGACAAAGCTCGCAGGTAGGACACCATCAACAAAGCCACCTGATCACCACAGAGATGGTGATACCTGCGTCAAAAAAACAGACACAAAGAGCTGAGGAGAAGGCCGAACCAGTCACGTACAGGACCGATCCGACCTGTCGAAAGAGGCGGAGATGTGGGAAAAACGCTCCGGGTTCGGACACCTATCAAGCAGCTTCTGAAAATAAAGCTTGGCCGGCCACCAAGGAACCATAAGGACTACTTTCTTGGGAATGGGCTCCAACCCGAAGCAACAGCTGGACCGGGAGAAGAGGAACAGGTACCCTCACCTCAACCAGTCCTGCCGAAAGGCATCCACCGTGAACGCCTCGCAGGCGGGTAAGGGCGTCACATAAAATGGGCAACGCCTAGACAACGCCGACTCGAAGATGTCCATGGCCAGGAGTCCATACGTCTGACAGAGCCAACGAAACGAGTCGGCGACAACTGGCCAATCCTCAAACAGAGGAATGAAACGAGACAGCTGTCCGCCAGGATGCAGGACACACCCCGGACATTAACCTCATGGTTAGCCAAACCCCGAGAATCCAGCAAACGAGCCACTCTAAGGAACCAACCCCAAAAGTCAACACCTAAGAGAAACCCTGTGGTTCCGGAAACGAACCGCCAGAGAACAGTCCAAATGGAGCTGAATGGTAGAGCACCGAGAGACCCATACCTTCCGAAGCACAAACCAGACAGCCACGAACTCCCGAACCGTGCTGTGAGCTCGACGGACGGACAGACCCCCACCATCCCTGGCCGACCTGGTGAGCACTGGTCACAAAGCCCCAGCCGAGATATGACCCGTCCGTGAACACATCGAGCGAAGGCTTGGGGAGGTGCCAAGGCACGGAACCCCGAAAACCCAAAAGAGGAAGTTGGTGACGCAGCACCAACACAAGATCCCTGGAGTAACGAACCCAAAGATTGCAAGAGAGGCGGAAGGGGAGTCTCCGAAGGAACCAAACAGACGCCGAAGCCAAACCTGATCCCGCGGGCACACCAGCACATCGAAGTTCAGACAACTGCTCAAGCAACCGCTGAGCAACCCGGGACCCCCCTCATGAACAGCCAAAGGCGGGACCACAGCTGCCGCAACACTTCTGGAGGGAAAGACAAGGAGCGGCCCTAGAGCCCTAAACAAGGACCAGCCAGGTCCGAACCCGGGATGGAAACAGATGGAATGGCCTTCAGATTACCAGGAAACCAAACCCAGCGATCTGGAAAGAATCACACCTCTGGCAAACAGACAAGCGGACCGACTGGGAGCCCACATCAGCCAGTCGTCGAGGTAGGCAGGACACCGAATCCCAAGCAGACTCGGACAGGGCACCAAGATTCGGCAAAGATGCAAAAATACACCAAGTACCAATTACAAAATACGGAAAAGCAACAAAAGCGGCAAGCATGAAGACCCCACCACCAACTGTGCCAGTCCCGGAAAACTGGAGAGGACCATGCCAAGAATTGACCTGGAGGTCCAGGGCCACCATCCAGGCACCCGGCCCCAACAGAAGCCAGACAAAAGACAACAGTCCTCCAATGAGGGCATAGAATCCAGGGCGCAGACTGAAGAAGTCCAGAAGAATGGCACATTTGACAGGCCCATGTCTGAAAAGAGCAGACGGGAACACCAGAAGAATGGGGTGGAATGACTACGTCCAATGCACCCACTAAGATGACATGACGAAGTGCAGGGAAAGAAGCCCACCCCGCTAGCCCTGAACCCCCCAAAGGAGGAGAAGCCATCCACCACCGCCACCAGAGGTCGGAAGACAACCAAAAGCGCCCACTAACTGCGGGACCATGCGAGAGTCAACAGAGCAAGCTGCTCCCCCAGCGCCCCGTCAACAGAAGGGAACAGAGCCCCTTCCGAAAGAAAAAGTATACATACACATACATGTATATACACATCATGCATATACACATACAAATACATATACACATACACACAAGGTATGTTACACACACGTGTGTATGCACATATGTGCACACATACATACCGTGAAAAGAAAATTACAAGCCGCCGACCAGTGGGCAGAGAGCACCACGCTGGCCAGGCAAAGAAGGCACAAAACTGCATCAAAAGGCCCACCTCGACAACAAAACCTCAAAGTCCCAGCATGATTACAACATGTGCCAAGACCCAAAATGATCAGTCTGCAAGCCAGGAAGACCTCGGAACTCCAGAAGGCAGAACCGGGTCACACACGAGGAAACAAAACCTCCTGAACCCACAAAGGGGGCCGAAGAGGAAGAAACCTCCGGAACGAAACCAAAGAACCCAAAGGAACCCGGAATCAAAACAGGGGGAGCCCAAACCACCACATTTGCCGGCGGAGATACACCACAGAAGGCAAAGCACAGCCCCCAGACAGAAACCCCCAGGGAAACGGTCAAAACCGACCAAAACCGAGGGGCAAGGTATGAGAGCAAGCATAACAGCCAGGGATACAGCCCAAACCCAAGGGCCAGGACAAAAACAGGCCCAAAACAGACAAAATGGAAAACCCGGTGTAAAATCAACACTCAAACATTCTCAGAGGAACAGGAAACGGGCAGAAAACACCAGAAAAGCAAAGACACGACAACAGGAGAATAACACCCTTGAAAAAAGGTGAAAACTCACCCCAGACACTCGCTCGCACACCCATGCGCATGTAAACAAACCGCAATGCCGCCCTGGTGTCCACGCCAGAAAACTGGCAGAAGAAAATGGACACCAGAACAGAGGGCTGTGACTGACGCAAAACATACGAAAACACGCCAGCAAAAGTGGGAAGCAAGCAGACTGGAAGGGTGAAAAACTCCGCCCAAAACCAGAAAACCCAGGCAGGGGCAAACCGCCACAGAGCTGCTAGCAGGCATCCCCCACAGCCCTGAGAACCTGCAACAGAGGCCCCGGGGCAGAGCTGTCCTCCAAGCCCTCCGCCCTTAAAGAAAAGGAAGAGTCCATGGGAAAGGCAGCAAGAAAGGGCCGCTGGTAAGACCCAGAAGCCTTGGCAGGAGGAACAGGCTCGAAAACCTCCGTCCCCAACCCGAACGGGGGTTCCCCGAAAACCGCCCGAGTCTCGGCCCAGCTAAGCCCCGCCCCGACCCCGAAACCCGCAGATGGTCCGGAGCCGGGAACAGGGAGGGAAAGGGGCGAACAGCATCTAACCAAAACGGGGCAGCCTCAGGGCATCCGAGTGGGAACCAACCTAGCGTGTTGCAGCAACCTAACCTAGCTTGCAACACGGATGCCGCCTGCACTCTGAACAGTAATAACGTCAGGAGAGTACTAGAGAACAAGCAGAGAATCTCTCTTGCAAGACTCCGGGTCAAGGTGTCAGTGACCCAACAGGCAGCATGACGGAGGTAAAAGTGGCGACTGTGACCCGGAGACAAGGGCACAGCAACCAACGATCCTGTACAAGACGGGTTGGAACCCTGAAGACACATTTAATAGTCCACCGAGCCCAGACAGGGGGTTTCCAGGGCGTATAGGCTGACTGCTACGGGAAGCCCGGGCAAGGTGTTGCTAACCGGTTAAGAAACCCAAAAATACCAAGAGGGTAGAGGATAGCACTGAAAATCTCTGCAACGTGTACAAGCACGGGGGGCCTAGCAGAGGGCCACCAAACACTACCAGTGGAACTATAGCCACACTAGGCAGACCCCCCACCAGGCACAAAAATAAAAACAAAAGAAAAACCCTGCAAAAGTACACCGTCTCCAGAGGCAACAGGAACCGGTCGCCGCTTAGGTGGCAGGTCGCGCAACACCTTGACGCCCTAACCAGCACAATACCAGTCCCTACCCAGGGCCAAACAAGGGTCCCAAGCCCCAGCTGGCCCCCAAGGGCGAGGCAAATGCCGAGCAGCAAGAACCTCTATGGGAATGGTTCCCGAACGCCCCAGGGAAGATAACTCTGTCACACTGGAGCAGTACTCACAGGGCACTTAGGGAAGTAAGCCACTAAGCGCATGCAGCCCTGGCACTGATGAGGTACTCCTGGCCACCGCACAACACAACACACGGCTGTGAACGCCACGAAAGGCAAACACTGCCTAGAAAACTGAGGCCAGAGAAGCGTCTATCCCGATTGACATTAGCTTGTGAACTGAAGCTAGGCAGCCGGCACGGTAGGTCCGGGGCTTCCCCTCCCCCTCTCGAGGTGGGGAGGGCTGCGCGGACGATTGGCGGTGCAGTAAAGTGTGATGTTTACTTGTTTGCTTGTTTCCTTGGGATTGTAGGGACTTTCTACCTCTCTGTTCGGCTTTTTGTTTTAGTTTTTTACTATGTGGGGTTTGTTTTGTTTTGCCTACCTTTCTGGGTGCCTAATCCCGGTCGATGGCAGATAAGGAAAACCTCAACCACAAGGGGGTTTTCCAAGGCCATTGCTCCCTGAAACCTTTCTGAAGGGGCCAGGTTCTGGCGCTGGTCCCTGGTAGGTCTGAACTCCTAATATAACATACATTAGCCTGATAAGCTACAGGGAGCCGTAGGGGCTCCCCACAGAAAATTTATTTTTTATGAAAGTACATTATTGTTACAAGTTTTATGTCAGTGTGATGAAACTTTTTAAGATATTGCAAGGCAACTTATGATAAAAAATAAAATATACTTCACTCAATGAATATCTAAATAAAAAGAAACAAAAGTTAAAACTTACCAAATCGGAAGCCTTCATTTGGAGGAACATCCTCCTCTTGTGGTTCTATGGGTAAGGCACATCCATCAGTTGGGATAGTCTGAGACACTTCTGGCCGTATTTCCTCTGTTAAAACAATAGGGTTTAAATTTTTTTAAAAGTCCAAAATTTGTTAAAATAACATCCATATCTATAAGAGACTTCTGTGTCTGTCTGTCTGTCTGTCCGAGGATGGAGACCAGACACTTGGGGCTAGCCACACCCAGCTTTGCAAGACAATACATGGGAGGGCAGGGGTGTGGGAGTGTCATAGGCCAGTTGGGGGTTGCCCCAAATGTAAGGAAGAACAATCGACAATCATTTTAATATTTCAAAGGTTCCCTTGTGCAAGAAATGTGGTTTTAATAATGAATGAAAGGTGGTTTTATAATGCATAGGCCATAATGAAAGGTGGTTTTATAATGCATAGGCCATAATGAAAGGTGGTTTTATAATGCATAGGCCATAATGAAAGGTGGTTTTATAATGCATAGGCCATTATGAAAGGTGGTTTTATAATGCACAGGCCATAATGAATGGTTTTATAATGCAAGCCCATAATGAATGGTGGTTTTATAATGCATAGGCCATAATGAAAGATGGTTTTAAAGATAGATTAAAAATTATGATTGAGGACTTGCTAAGGAATTATGAAGGAAAGTTCTTAAACTAGACCATGGAGATGAAGGTCTCAGGAATGAATTTTGCAATATAAAGGAATTATTTTCCGGTAGGATAACAAAACTACCAGCTTGACTGATAAGGTAAAGAGAGGGATGGAACAAATCAAAGAACTAGTGAAAGAAAATCAGATATGGAAAATGAAGAGGGGTGAATTTGAAGAAATTATCAGGAAAATAGACTCACAAGGAGAACAGCTCAGAATAACCCTACAGGCTAGTCCAAACATAGTTAGGCAAGGATATGCTAAGAGAAACTTCATTGACAGCTCAAATAGAGAAGGTTAACAAAGGATTGGAAAATTGCAGGGTGGAAATAAAAGGGACATATGTGCAAGTTGTAAAAGAGAAAGAAACAATCAAAGAAGTATTTGGAATTCCAAAATAGAAATAAGCAACAAGAAACAGACATTAGACAAGAAAACAGAAAAGAACTGGTTATCAACCATAAATTAGTGCAAAACACTGCAGATAAAAGCAATTCCCCTATAATTTTTGGGTGTTTAGAAAAGGAAATACCATCTAGGATAGAGAAAGCAGCAGAAGAGGATAAAATAATTGAGAAAATAGTAGGTTTAGGAGAAGGCCTCACAACATTGAAAATATTGTTGATTTTATGGACAAACATGAAAAAAACAAGAATCACCCCTTACGGGTCATATTTAACCCGTGGGCAGTGCCACTGACTATATCATGCAACATTCAGGTATGCATAAAAAATTAAATTCTAAAAATTAAATTCCTTTCATTTGTAGGAGAGTACAAGGTCTAGAGAGACATAGAAGCAGCATTGATAAATGTTGAAAAACAACCTGGAACTTTATAAGAAATATAAATGTACTATTGGAAATGTGTATAAAACACAAGTGTGTGTATGAAACATTATTGGAACCAGGTGGTTGGACACAAATGTATGAGCTGTTTCGGTCACTTGGTCCTGGGCAGGGTTCGAGGACAGTCAAGTTGTTGCTTGTGTGAAGTGTGATGGTCTCCTACAATAATAATAAGTCAGGAAGAGGAGATGGAGGTGGTAGAGATGGTGGTGGTAGATATGGTGGAAGAGGAGATAGTGGTGGTAGCGATGGTGATAGGGGATAGTGGTGGTAGATATCGTGGAAGATGAGATAGTGGTTGTAGAGATAGTGGAAGAGGAGATAGAGATGGTGGAAGATGAGAAAGTAGTGGTGGTACAGATGGTGGAAGAGGAGATAGTGGTGGTACAGATGGTGGAAGAGGAGATAGTGGTTGTAGAGATGGTGGTAGGGGATAGTGATGAAAGAGGATAGTGGTGGTAGAAATGGTGGAAGAGGAGATAGTGGTGGTAGAGATAGTTGTAGGGGATAGAGGTGGTAGAGATGGTGGAAGAGGATAATAGTGGTGGTAGAGATGAAGGAAGAGGAAATGGAGGTGGTAGAGATGGTGGTAGGGAATAGTGGTGGTAGAGATGGTGGAAGAGGAGATAGTGGTAATTACCTAAGTGTAGTTACAGGATGAGAGCTACGCTCGTGGTGTCCCGTCTTCCTAGCACTCTTTGTCATATAATGCTTTGAAACTACTGACGGTCTTGGCCTCCACCACCTTCTCACCTAACTTGTTCCAACCGTCTACCACTCTGTTTGCGAAAGTGAATTTTCTTATATTTCTTCAGCATCTGTGTTTAGCTAGTTTAAATCAATGACCCCTTTTTCTTAAAGTTCCAGGTCTCAGGAAATCTTCCCTATCGATTTTATCAATTCCTGTTACTATTTTGCATGTAGTGATCATATCACCTCTTTTTCTTGTCTTCTAGTTTTGGCATATTTAATGCCTCTAACCTCTCCTCATAGCTCTTGCCCTTCAGTTCTGAGAGCCACTTAGTAGCAAGTCTTTGCACCTTTTCCTGTTTGTTGATGTGCTTCTTAAGATATGGGCACCACACAACCGCTGCATATTCTAGCTTTGGCCTAACAAAAGTCGTGAACAATTTTTTTAGTATATCGCCATCCATGTATTTAAAAACAATTCTGAAGTTAGAAAGCGTGGCATAGGCTCCTCGCTCAATATTCTTTATGTGGTCGTTAGGCGATAGTTTTCTATCTAGAACCACCCCTAGATCTCTTTCTTTATCAGAATTCTTTAAAGATTTCTCACATAATATATAGGTTGTATGGGGTCTATGTTCTCCTATTCCACATTCCATAACATGACATTTATTAACATTAAATTCCATTTGCCAAGTGGTGCTCCATATACTTATTTTGTCCAGGTCTTCTTGAAGGGCATGACAATCATCTAAGTTTCTTATCTTTCCTATTATCTTAGCATCATCAGCAAACATGTTCATATAATTCTGTATACCAACTGGTAGATCATTTATGTAGAAAATAAACATCACTGGTGCAAGAACTGAACCTTGTGGTACTCCACTTGTGACATTTCTCCAGTCCGATACATTGCCTCTGATTACTGCCCTCAGTTTTCTATGAGTCAGAAAATTTTTCATCCATGTTAAAAGCTTACCTGTCACTCCTCCAATATTTTCCAGTTTCCAGAACAACCTCTTATGTGGAACTCTGTTGAAAGCCTTTTTTAGGTCCAGATAGATGCAGTCAACCCAACCATCTCTTTCCTGTAATATCTTTTTTTTTTTTTTTTTGAGATATATACAAGAGTTGTTACATTCTTGTACAGCCACTAGTACGCGTAGCGTTTCGGGCAAGTCCCTGGAATACGATCCCCTGCCGCGAAGAATCGTTTTTTCATCCAAGTACACATTTTACTGTTGCGTTAAACAGAGGCTACAGTTAAGGAATTGCGCCTAGTAAATCCTCCCCGGCCAGGATACGAACCCTTGACATAGCGCTCGCGGAACGCCAGGCGAGTGTCTTACCACTACACCACGGAGACTGCTACCTCTGTGGCTCTGATCATAGAAACTGAGTAAATTCGATACACAGGATCTTCCAGATGGGAAACCATACTGTCTGTCTGATATTATATCATTTCTCTCCAGGTGTTCTACCCATTTAGTTTTGATTAGTTTTTCCAATACTTTCACTATTACACTTGTCAATGATACAGGTCTATAATTGAGGGGGTCTTCCCTGCTGCCACTTTTGTAGATTGGAACTATATTAGCCTGTTTCCACACGTCTGCTACGATTCCTGTACACAGGGATGCCTGAAAGATCAGGTGAAATGGAATGCTGAGCTCAGATGCACATTCTCTCAGAACCCATGGTGAAACTCCATCTGGGCCAGCTGCTTTGTTCCTCCCGAGCTCCTTTAGCATATTTTCCACTTCATCTCTAGACACCTCTATCCGCTCTATGTTGTTCTCTGGAATTCTTATTGTGTCTGGTTCTCTAAAGATTTCATTTTGTACAAACACACTTTGGAACTTTTCATTTAATGTTTCACACATTTCCTTTTCATTTTCCGTGAATCTGTTTCCCATTTTAAACCTCTGGATATTATCCTTTACCTGCAATTTGTTGTTTATGAATTTGTAGAATAGGCCCGGTTCTGTTTTACATTTATCCGCTATACCTTTTTCAATATGTCTTTCTGCCTCTCTCCTTACTGCCATATGGTTATTTCTCGCATCTTTGTATCGCTGATATGTTTGGGGGTTTGGCCTCTTCCTATACTGATTCCATTTTTGTGTCTTTTGGTCTCTTGCCCTCTCACAATTTCTGTTGAACCAATCCTGTTTTCTGGCCCTGCATCTCTGTTTTGGTATGAATGTTTGGTATGAATGAGTGGTGGTAGAGATGGTGGAAGAGGAGATAGTGATAGTAGAGGTGGTGGAAGAGGATAACAGTGGTAGTAGAGATGGTGGAAGAGGATAATAATGGTGGTAGAGATGGTGGTAGGGAATAGTGGTGGTAGAGATGGTGGAAGAAGTTATAGTGGTGGTAGAGATTGTGGAGAGGAGATAGTGGTAGTAAATATGGTGGAAGAGGAGATAGTGGTGGTAGAGATGGTGGAAGAGGAGATAGTGGTGGTAGAGATAGTGGAAGAGGAGATAGTGGTGGTACATATGGTGGAAGAGGAGATAGTGGTGGTACATATGGTGGAAGAGGATATAGTGGTGGTAGAGATAGTGGAAGAGGAGATAGTGGTGGTAGAGATGGTGGTAGAGGAGATAGTGGTGGTACATATGGTGGAAGAGGAGATAGTGGTGGTAGAGATGGTGGAAGAGGAGATAGTGGTGGTACAGATGGTGGAAGAGGAGATAGTGGTGGTACATATGGTGGAAGAGGATATAGTGGTGGTAGAGATAGTGGAAGAGGAGATAGTGGTGGTAGAGATGGTGGTAGAGGAGATAGTGGTGGTAGAGATGGTGGTAGAGGAGATAGTGGTGGTACATATGGTGGAAGAGGAGATAGTGGTGGTACATATGGTGGAAGAGGAGATAGTGGTGGTAGAGATGGTGGAAGAGGATATAGTGGTGGTAGAGATGGTGGAAGAGGAGATAGTGGTGGTAGAGATGGTGGAAGAGGAGATAGTGGTGGTAGAGATGGTGGAAGAGGAGATAGTGGTGGTAGAGATGGTGGTAGAGGAGATAGTGGTGGTAGAGATGGTGGTAGAGGAGATAGTGGTGGTACATATGGTGGAAGAGGAGATAGTGGTGGTAGAGATGGTGGAAGAGGAGATAGTGGTGGTAGAGATGGTGGAAGAGGAGATAGTGGTAATAGAGATAGAAGAGATGTGTGTATATATATATATATATATATATATATATATATATATATATATATATATATATATATATATATATATATATATATATATATATATACATACATACATACATACATACATACATACATACATACATACATATATGTCTCATTGAATATGACTGCATATTCTGTATTTACTATCGTCTTCTATCCCTCTAACTATTTTTCTAGCATCAGGGCTTAGCTGAAAGAGGAGTTCTCCAAAACTCATGTTCGTTATTTTAAGGTGAAGAAAAAAGTGAATTACTATAGAATGTATTATACTATATTTATACAATTTGCAAAACGTTTTGAACCTCCATGGTTCATTTTCAAGTGAAAAGAAATTACATATCTCGTTCAATTTATACCAGTACAGGGTCAGGTGATAAAACAAGTAGAATAACGGAAAAGGCAAGGGGATAAATGGGGAACGAAGCATATACAAAGATTAATCAGGTGCCGGTCGGCCGGAGCGGACAGCACGCTGGACTTGTGATCCTGTGGTCCTGGGTTCGATCCCAGGCGCCGGCGAGAAACAATGGGCAGAGTTTCTTTCACCCTATGCCCCTGTTACCTAGCAGTAAAATAGGTACCTGGGTGTTAGTCAGCTGTCATGGGCTGCTTCCTGGGGGTGGAGGCCTGGTCGAGGACCGGGCCGCAGGGACACTAAAAAGAAATCATCTCAAGATAACCTCAAGATCTCAAGATAAAGTGTAATAGGCCTGTTATGTTGAGCAGTGTCTTCTGTGATGGCATCGTTATATTCTGGTCTTATCCGTACTCTCATGGTGGGTAGAGTAAATAGTTCCGTGATTTGGGTGCTCATGGTAGGTTGTTCTATTCTTATGTGAATTGCTTCAAGAATTTGTAATCTTCTTTCATCTTGGGTTTTGTCTATTATACAGGTATTTTTGTTCAACATTTCTCTTGTTAGGGTGATGTCATGGGCTTGTCTCATGTGATTCCTGGGGGCACAGGATTGAAGATGACAGGTCAAACGCCTCGTCAGCTTGGTCGACGTCATACCAATGTACATAGATTAAAGGTTACATCCTTCGTGGGAGCAAGTGTACATGTATACAATGCTTGGCTGCTGTAGAAAGTTCTCCGTCAGCTTTGGGCTGTTTTTAATAAGGAGGTCGGTAGTCTTCTTTGTTTTATAGAATATGATCAGGTCTATGTTTTGGTCAGGAATAGTGCTTTTTACTCCTTTACGAATTATTTCCTTCATTATTCTTTCTTCTTTTTTATGTTCACTATGCACAGAAGATTTGTAATATAATTTTATTGGAGGTGTTGTGGTTTCTGTACTAGGTTCAGGCTTGTACCATCGGTCCAGGTGTCTTCTTATAGCGGTGTTTATTTCCGTGTTGCTATATCTGTTGTTCACCAGTACCCGAGTTATTCTTTCAAACTCTCTACTTACATTGCTCCATTTGGAGCAGTGTGTAAGCGCTCGACGAATATAAGCATTGAGGACAATGATTTTGTATCTTTAAGGGCACTCACTCTTACCGTTCAGGCATAATCCTATGTTGGTAGGTTTTGTATATACGCTGGTGCTTAACACTTTGGCGTGCCCCGCCCGCCACCCCTCAACTGTGCGATTTGGGTCCCAGAGTTTCACGGGAGCGCGCGTTAATTCCGAATAGTGTATACTCTCTTCAACTTTGTCACCTTAATTTTCGTCCTACGAGATTAAATTTGGTATCATTGTGTTCACAATAGAATTCTCTACAGCACTAAATGCATATAAACTCCAAAAGCCTGGCTAATTACCCGCAGCAAACAGAGAAAGTGCGAACGAGTTACCGAGGAGCGCGCAAAAGTGATAAAATGTGTTCACTCTTTTCATTCTGGTTACCTCAATTTTCGTCCTAGGTCTTTCATTTTGGTATCAATGGGTTCACAATAGAATTCTCTAGAGAAACATTAGCATATAAAATAAAAAACCTGGTCACGCTCCACCCGCTGACGAGTTGAAGACAGGCCATGCGTTAACCGCGAGTGAGCGCCCAGACGCCTTCCAACTACACTCCCAATTCCTGCCCACAAATGTTTAGTATTTAGTATTTTAGTATATGTAGTATTATAGTTTAGTATTTTTTGTGTAGTAGTTGTACATCACATAAGCATTGTAGATAGCCATTTGCACAAAATAGATGGTCATTTTCTTCATCCATTTCTGAGTTTTCCTTATGAAGTGATAATATTTGATCATTTGGTCAAAGTGATCAACACCTTTCATGTTTGTATTGTAGTCACAGATTGCATTCGGCTTGTTGACAGTTACCAAACAGTCCCCCCCCCAAAAAAAACGATAAAAACCTGATTTTTGGCAATTATTTTAGTGGATGATGCAATGTTGCGTCATCCCCGAGATTACCGACAGTAAACGGATGACGTAATGCTGCGTCATGCCCGGACTAAAGTGTTAAAGAGTTTCCTGTTTTTGTTATTATTACATCTAAGAAAGGCAGACTGTTATTTTCACTATTTTCATGTGTAAATCGGAGTACTGACTCTCTCTCTCTAGATGGCTTTTTAGATCAATTAGTTCCGCTGAGTCTTATACTATGACGAATTTGTCGTCTACATAACAGCAGTATACAGTTAGTTTTTGTTTACTACTGAAGACTCTGTCTGCGATGGTTCCCATGTAAAAATTAGCGAATAACACTCCTCAGGGGGAGCCCATTGCTACTCAGTCTATTTGTAGATACATGTCCCTTTTCGAACTGATGAAAAGAGCTTCCTTTGTACATGCCTTGAGAAGGCTCTTCAAATGTGGCTCGGGTATGTCTAATTTGGGAGTGCTCTCGTCTCTGTATACTCTGTCCAGTATCATTTCTATGGTTGTGTCGACTGGGACGTTGGTAAACAGAGATTTGATGTCCAGGGAAGCAATGATTCCATCGGGATGTGTAGTTTTGATTAATTCTAGGAAATCTGCTGATGATTGTTGACTATAGTTCCTTGGAGTGTATGGAGTTAGGAGTTCATTAAGTCTTTTTGTCAGGTGATAGGTTGGAGTTGGTATTTGGCTGATTATTGGACGTAGTGGGTTACCAAGTTTGTGTGTCTTAACATTGCCACAAGCATGTCCTAAGCCATAGTTACCCTGGAGTTTAGTGAAATGAACACTACCTTTCTTTGCGTTGATTGCAGTAATAGTTTTGTTCACTTTTCGTTTGAGGTCTTCCACAGGGTTCCTCGTGATTCATTGAAATTTGGTGTCATCACTAAGGATATCGCTAATTTTGTTCATGTATTCTTGGGTTGGAATCAACACATATGCTGTTGTCTTATTGGCTTATCTTATTGTTACATCTTCCAGCTTTTTAAGTTGTTTTGCAGCTTCTTTGAATCATGGGGTTAAGATTGTTGATGAGTATGTTTCTCGTTTTTTCCCGGCTTCTGTTAGTAGTTCAGCCTGAAATGTGTCAGTGGTGATGACTTTTTTGTTGTCTTCTAGCTTATGGATGTCGTCCAGAAGCATTTCGATTTCCAGGCGTTTTTGATGCATCATTGGTTTAGATATGAATTGACAATTTAGACCAAGATTTAAGAGGTATCGTTGGTCCTGGGTTAGGTCATAAGAAGTCAGGTTAATGTAGCAATCTTTAGGACGAGGGATCTTTAACTGTCCACCGTTTAAGGCTGTTAACTTATGGAGTGTCTTCATTTCTACACGAGTAACATAAACAACATTATTAACATTAACCACAACATAAAACTCGTGTAGAAACGAAGACGAAGTAAGTTAACAGCCCTAAACGGTGGACAGTTAAAGATCCCTCATCCTAAAGATGGCTACATTAACCTGACTTCTTATGATCTTACCCAGAGCGGCCGAAACATTCATCTTTCTTTCCAATTTCTTTGTGGATTTTCCGCATAAATAAATAAATAAATAAATATATATATGTTAGTATATTTTGGTAGCAGTCTTTCTTGTAAACATATGTTGTTGAATATGACCGAAAACTTAAGATTAATAATTCTAACACAAATTTTCTCAATATTTCTTTTTTTTTTTTCACTGTCGGTGGTAATGGAAATATCAATTCTCCAAAATTCCTTTTTATTTATGGTCTGACACCTGAACGCATTTCGTAATAGCTTATTACATTACGAAACGAAACCATTACGAAACGCGTTCAGGCGTCAGACCATAAATATCAATGAATTTTGGAGAATTGATATTTCCACTACCACCGACAGTGAAGAAAAATATAAGAAATACTGAGAAAATTAGTGTTAGAATTATTATTCTTACCTTGTCAGTCATTTTATATATATATATATATATATATATATATATATATATATATATATATATATATATATATATATATATATATATATATATATATATATATATATATTATAAACTTGTAAAATACTGTACAGTACTTCATAAAGTTAAATATAAATGCATATAAAATTCTCATTTAATACATATGCAATATATTAAACAATCTATGTTCACTTATTACAAAAATATTTTACTATTATTATGCATTGTTTATCATTGAATAAAAACCCTGCGATCAGGAAGATTTACTAACATGCATTATCTATAGGATAAACTCTTTCTTGTTACTTAATATATCTAAATTAAAATTTACATAAAATACATTAAACAAAAACTATGAATACCAGCTACCTGTTGGTGCAGTGATGGTGGTGGTGGAGGATGCACTAATAATTGTAGTAGTAGTAGTAGTAGTAGTTAGGAATGTAGGGAGGGTAGTTAAGTCATCAGTGGTAGAGGACACAAATAAGGTAGGGTGAGGGGTTGACTCAAACTCTTCTTCCGCCACATCTGGGACTGTGGGTTGTTCAGCAATGATGGGAAAATCTTCATAGTCACTAACGTTGGCTCTCACCCCTTCTTGCCCTGTAGTTCAGAGGCCATCATTCACAGAAACAAGCACAAACAAAAAGCAGAATTAGCACCAATGCAATGCAGATGTTCAAAGAAAACTGCCCTTGTGTGGACCTGTTTGTTTAGTGAGTCAGTCTACACGAATTGTATATTGCTTAAACCAACTAACAAAATTACTGTCAAACTAGGCTAGGGCATATTAATACTTTGCCCGGCCTGGCGCGTGTCGCCCAGCACACCCCAAGGTGGGCCGAGCGTTTCGCATTAGCGTGCAACCACACTAAAATGTGTATAATCTTTTCAGCTATCTCACCTCAATTTTTGTGCTACGTCATTCATTTTGGTATCAAATTGTTTGCAATAGAATTCCCTAAAGGTATATATATGCATATAAGGTCAAAAAGTCTGGCTTGCCACCTGCAGCAAATCCAAAAATAGGCTGAGCGTTATTCCGTGAGCGAGCACCCGCACTAAAATGTTTATGATCTTTTCAGTGTTCTTACCTCAATTTTCGTGTTACGTCACTCATTTTTGTTTCAAATTGTTTGCAATAGAATGATCTAAGGGAATATATGCATATAAGGTAAAAAAAGCCTGGGACGTCACCCGCAGCAAACCCGAAAATCGGCTGAACGTTACTGGTGAGCGAGCACCCGCAGTAAAATGTGAATAATCTTTTCAGTTTTCTTACCTCAATTTTCATGCTACGTCTTTCATTTTGGTGTCAAATTGTTTGCAATAGAACTTTCTAAAGGGAAATATGCATATAAGGTCAAAAAGCCTGGCTTGCCACCCGCAGAAAACCCAAAAATCAGCTGAGCATTACCCATGAGCGCACACCCACCCGCACTCAAATGTTTATACTCTTTTCAATTTTCTTACCTCAACTTTCGTCCTACATTGTTCATTCTGGTAACAAATTGTTTGCAACCAAAAGATGCACATTTTAACTAGTCCCATAGGGGCCTCGTAGCATGGTGGATAGCGCGCAGGACTCGTAATTCTGTGGCGCGGGTTCGATTCCCGCACGAGGCAGAAACAAATGGGCAAAGTTTCTTTCACCCTGAATGCCCCTGTTACCTAGCAGTAAATAGGTACCTGGGAGTTAGTCAGCTGTCACGGGCTGCTTCCTGGGGGTGGAGGCCTGGTCGAGGACCGGGCCGCGGGGACACTAAAAAGCCCCGAAATCATCTCAAGATAACCTCAAGATATTGATTGGGGAAAAATAGATTTTAAACAAATATTTTAATTTTGGACTCAGCGTGTGTTCTCGCCCAGTTTGAGTACAGTATATTCATATACTGACGCATTATAAGTTATCGGCCAGGCAAAGTGTTAAATGATAAAATGGTAAAGCAATATATGAATTAAGCAGTAAATGACTATATTTATGCTTAGTATCTAAATTACCATGCAAAACAAAAATACTAGTAAAAGCATGGAGCAGAACTCAGAAAAAGATGGCTTCAGTAATCAGTATTAACTCATCCAAAAGTGAAACTATGCAAACGAATTTGAAATATGGTGCATAGGGGTATGAAGTGTTACTTCTTGTCGATCTTTGGTGTATGGTGCCTTCCAAACCACAAATAAGTCTAGTAGGATGCCTGGTTGAGATACTTTTAAGCTCTTCATGGCTCAGTAGGTAGTGTGTATAGCTTGGGAGCACAAGTCCTTTAGATCAAGTTATCACAAGACAAGCCAGGCCCCAGGATGGGCTTAGGGAGAAAGAAAAATTCTCATAATCAATTACAGGTAAGCTACAGATAAACTGCTGGCAATTCCAGGGCATGAGTTCTATCCCACCTTATTGCCTTAATTTTTTTTTTTTAAGAGATGCATCATGTTAATGTGATTTCATTGTGTATATGTAACTTAACATACACAGTATAAATTTAAAAGTCTATCATTCAATGCAATGAAATGCCTCTTTTTTTTTTTTGGGCCATCAATAGCTCCATGAAGCTTACATGCTGTTGTACCTATTCTTTAAGAACTGTGCCAGACCTACTGAAAGTAAAGTTCAGAATCCAGAAACTCCCTATATGGGGTGTCACAGGGAAAGAAGAGGGGCAAAACCTCGTCGAGCTTCACTGGTGAAACTCCATCACTGCTCTCTTTACAGTACCCTTACTGTTGTCTCCATGCTCCCTTTCCCTCACAATAAAGTAAGTTCTTAACCCCTGTGTACATCAGCCCCCAAAACACAGGGACTTCGCAGTGCCTCTGGAAACTCATTAGGCAAATTCTGTCCCCAGAAGATGTAGAGCAGCTGGTGACTACCTCGGACACCTAGTTATCCAACTACTCCTGTGATCATCGTAAAGATGCTACCTGACAGAGCACCAGATACACCCCCCCCGGCCTAACCAACCAAGCCTTCACAACCAACAGACCCATTCCTGCTGTTGCATTCTTCGCCTGAAAAGGAGGAGCTGGCTGCAAATGAACAAAACGACCTGACATTTGACTTTGCTGACATTTTATCAAGGGATTCAAAAAATTAATAAATATGAATTTATTTGGGTTTCTCATTTGGCAGAAATTGCAATAATCTGAATTCTTATTTGAGCTAAGACCTGAATTTTTATTCGAGTTGAGAAGTCAAGCATGTGGAACTTGATTTTATTCAAGTTCTTTGTTTGGTATAACTTTTTAACCTGAATTCCTGTTAGAGTTAAAGGTTGAAAATGGATAAAATCATGATTTCATACTCGGAGATTCAGATTACCAGAATCCGAATTACTAAGCTCTTACAGTACTGATGTTAAACTGTTGGCGTAAATACTATTACTAAAGAAGCCATCTCTTCTATGGTATAGAGAGCATGTACATTATTTAAAATAAGTTTTAAAATCAATGTATGCATTTAACTATGTAATTAACAAAAAAATAAATATGGGAATCATGCGTATCTATTATTTTCCTACCAATGGATGGTTTCTCAAAAATGGATGAACTCCTCTGCAATGGACACGTCTGCAGATGTGCATTAAGTCGATCTTGACTCTCAGCAAAGTTCACAATTTTGCTGTTAAGTGTAGCATCTCCAATGCAGCCATAGAAGTTAGTGTCAGTGGCTGAGGCTGCAGCAGCTATGTTGTAAATCTCAGGAACTCCACCAAAAAATACTGGTCCATCAAATGGTACAGCTTGTTCAGCTACTTTTACTCTGTTGATTTGTAATGAGAATTAAGTACGGTACCTAAACTGTTTTTAAAATTATATTACAAATACAAAATTAATTTAACCTTAGAGTTAAAAATACAATTGTCAGAAGAATAAATGTGACATATGCATCAAACCATTATTGAATGTAATGAAATACCAATTTCTAGGTGAATCATGTGGCTTCCTCCAGCTATCTTGCTTAGAACTGGCAATGTGACACCAATGTGACACCAATGTGTAACCATCAATCATACAACCTCTTCCACTCTACCAATAACCGTTGGAGTGCCACAGGGCAGCATCTTAGGACCTCTTCCATTTCTTATATACATCAATGATATGCCTAATGTTTCTAATAATCTTAAACCTATATTGTTTGCTGATGATACTACCCTCATCTATTCAGACCCCATCCCACATACACTAAATAATGTTGTGAATAATGAATTAAACAAAAGTTCACTTATAGATGTCAACTAACAAACTAACACTAAACACAGAAAAGACCTACTGCATCTTATTTGGAAGCAAATCATCAAATGCAATTCAGCTACATTAACAGCAGTAATAAAAATGATGGAAAGTTTCTTGGCCTATTCCTAGACAAGAGACTCAACTTCAGCACCCACATTCAACACATAAGAAAGTCTCTAAAACAGTTGGTATACTCTCCAAAATAAGATATTATGTTCCTAACTCTGCTCTCCTCTCACTATATTATGCACTAATCTATCCCTATCTTAATTATGGTATCTGTGCATGGGGTCTACCACTGCAAACCACCTTAAGCCCATCATCACCCAGCAAAAATCTGCTATCAGAATAATAACAAACTCTGCTTTCAGACAACACTCGGCTCCCTTGTTTAAATACCTTAACTTGCTAAATATTAACTCCCTCCACATATTCTGTTTTTCCACTCCACTGTTTTTTTTAAAACAACGCTGTTTGTCTGTAATAATTTGTAATTGTATTTGTGCTGCTTTTTCAGCCATGTTCCCCCCTCTTTTATCTCTATTTTTATTTGTTCTCAACACATTTTATTCTTTATACCCATTAGTATTAAGCTTTAGTCATTAATGTTTTTCCTGCCTGAAACGCTTTGCGTAATAGTGGCTTTAGGCATTGTATGCACTAGCTCTATCTATTAATCCAACAAACTTTGTAAAATCTCTTGTATGTATGTACCTTACCTAAATAAACATTTATTTATATTTATTTATTTATTCTCTTGTATCAACTAGATTTACAAAACCCTGTTCTTAAATGCAAACCATGCTCTGAAACTCTCCCTGGACAGATGTAATAGGACCCATTATCACCACACCAGAAATAAATATCACTGATATCCCCAGGGTCAAACTTAATCTGTGTGAACACTCTATACAAATTAAGGGACCTAGTCTATGGAACTCACTCCCTAGTGAATTGAAAAGCTATCAAACTTTTGCCTCATTTAAAACCAAAACCAAAAAGTACCTAATTTCATCTTCGTAGTTTCCTACACTTAGCTTTAAATTTGCTCTGTATCTAGTGTTACCCAATCTCCCAATCTTTATGTACTTAATCCAAACAACTCTATCATTGTGTTGATTGCTGTCTTCTTTTATGTGCTGGTCATATGTTGTATTGTGCCTACTAATTTTTGTTAAACTACCATTCAAGCTGTCATTGCAATCACTCTGAGCTATCTACGTGCTTTAATATACCTACAAATTTCTCTCATTTTTTTTCTTGCTATGTACCTGTTACAATTTTTTAAAATTTTGCTAGTATTTACCTACTTAAAATTTTCTTAGATTAAGGACCTGCCCGAAACGCTGCTCGTACTAGTGACTTTACAAGAATGTAATTACTATGCTATGTATCCTCACAATCCCAATGTACCTTCTTGCATGCATGCATATATATATATATATATATATATATATATATATATATATATATATATATATATATATATATATATATATATATATATATATATATATATATATATATATATATATATATATATATATATATATATATATATATATATATATATATATATATATATATATATATATATATATATATATATATATATATATATATATATATATATATATATATATATATATATATATATATATTTATTTATTTTATATTATATATATGTATAAATATACATATATTTATATGTATATTTATATTTATATATATATATATATATATATATATATATATATATATATATATATATATATATATATATCACAAGAGGCATAGGGTGCACATGCCACTCCTCCACCTCACCAGGAAATGCACCCAAAAAGTCAGCAAACCAATACAAACCTCTGATGGGTTAAAAAAACCAGCGTTGAATGTAATGAGATGCCATTTTCTGGGTGAGCCCCGGAGGTTCCCCTGGAGCTTATCGGGCTAATGTATGTTATATTAGACTGGGACATTAGCTAAGGAGTTCAGACCTACCAGGGACTAGCGCCAGAACCTGGCCCCTTCAGAGAGGTTTCAGGGAGCAATGACCCTGGAAAACCCCCTTGTGGTTGGGGTTTTCCTTATCTGCCATCGACCGGGGTTAGGCACCCACAAAGGTAGGCATAACAAAAACCCCACACGGCAAAAAACTAAAACTAAAAACCGAACAGAGAGGTAGAAACTCCCTACAATCCCATGGAAACAAGCAAGCAAGCAAACATCACACTTTACTGCCGCGCCGATTGTTCACGTAGCCCTCCCCGCCCTGAGACGGGGAGGAGGGAGCCCCAGACCTACCGCGCCAGCTGCCTAGCATCAGTTCTGAAGCTAAGCTTCAGCCAATGCGAAAAAACGCCAACCAGTGGAAGGGAGGGTTGCCAGGGAGCTTCCGGGGTTCACCCAGAAAATTCATTACATTCAATGCTGGTTTTTCTCCTTCATAGTTACAAGTGTTCTGTAGGGAGTACTGTCTACAGGTACTGTACCCTACTGTTACAAGTTCTGTAGGGAGCCCCTATGGCTCCCTGGAGCTTCATACCCAAAGAGAAGGAAAAGAAAGGGCTGACCTAGGAGGCGGCTGCCACAAACTCTGCAACGCGAAGCCGAGACAACAGGCTGCAACCTGCGACCCAAAGCAACAAGAACGCACAGGAGCATATTACATTACATTTGCTTGGGTTAAACTCTGACAACCATTTGTTCGACCATCCCTTCAGTCTGTCTAGGTCTTCTTGAAGCCTCAAGCAGTCCTCCTCTGTCTTAATCATTCACATAATTTTGGCATCATCAGCAAACATTGAGAGGAATGAGTCTATAACCTCCGGGAGATCATTTGCGTATATCAGAAACAGGATAGAACCGAGTACAGAGACCTGTGGGACTCCACTAATGACTTCACACCAATTTGAAATCTCGCCCCTCACTATAACTCTCTGCTTCCTATTGCTTAGGTACTCCCTTATCCACTGGAGCACCTTACCAGTCACTCCTGCCTGTCTCTCCAGCTTATGTACCAGCCTCTTATGGGGTACTGTGTCAAAGGCTTTCCGACAGTCCAAAGGAAAATACAGTCCTGTAATTACCTAAGTGTAGTTACAGGATGAGAGCTACACGTGTGGTGTCCCGTCTACCCAGCACTATCCTGTGTCATCAAACATGAGTCTACTGAAGGTATGGATGATGAATAATTTCTGGGTTCAGTGACATTTCAGGGTGGGTTTGGGTAGGTGGGCGGCTTTGGTGGTTTCTGGTATGTTTGGGTGGGTTCGGACAGGTGGGCGAACTTGGGTGAGTTTTTGGGTGGGTTCGGGCGCCTGGGCAGTTTTGGGCGAACTCGGATGGGTTCAGGTGAGTGAATTTTTACGCCGGCAAATACGGTAAATTTTGAGGAGGAGTTCTGGTGTGAAAAAGAGGTCTCACTTTACAAGAATTGATGATATATATAAATTAGAAAACCTAGGAAAATTAAGTGCTTCAGAACTTAAGAGACCTGGGTAGCTGAAGATATTCAATCCATCGGGCACTGTTGAAGTTAAATCAACACCGAATGCTTACACTAAAATACATTAATTAATGATTGAAAAAATTTGAGGGAGGAAATTAAAAGCAAAAACCATACTGAGCATTAACCACTGTACTGTGCCAACCGGGAAAACTCAGTCAGTGGGAAACTGCGCCAAACGAGAAAACGCTCTATTAATTTTTTTACCCATTCAAAATGTGTGCGCGGTTGGTTGTCTACGAAATGGATTCTTAGGACCTCCAGTGAGAGGCAGCCATCTGAAAAAAAATTCCCAAAATGCCCTGGGGCTGCTGGCTGGGTTAGGACTGAGTGAGCAACCATGAGTAGCACACGCGCCTCTGGCTCCCAAACACCTGTCCAACGCGGTGTTGAAAGATCGCGCTCTGTTGGTGAAATTCAAACTTTATTGTTTGAAGAAAATAAGGGTTATGATATTTGTGAAGCTAGGTGCAATAAGGATCTAACACAAAGGTCGGATGCAAGTGATACAGTACCTATGAGGATGATACAGCGAGCATATCCAGTTGTAGCACTGAGCGCCACCCTTGCCCACCTATGCCATCTCCAATTTCTATATTAATAATAATAATAATAATAATAATAATAATAATAATAATATTTTATTTAGGAATAGTATTTAGGAAGAAATATTTAGGATATTTAGGAAGGAATATTATTTAGTATATAGATGATACACAGACGAATCGTTTTCTGCATTCAGTGATGATGCATCTGGTACAAGTAACATAGATGAACAGTGTTAGTGGCTTCCATTGTGGTGTTTTCCATAGATATTTTCAAGAATAGCTGAATCTCTTCCAGACTAACTGACACTCTTTGAGGCTGGCTGAATCTCTTCCAGAATCCCGGAATCTCTTTTAGATTGACGGACACTCTACGAGGGTGGCTGAATCTCTTCCTGTGTGGAACCTTACAAAGCGATCTTTTCAAGACTACCTTACAAACTGATCTTTTCCTATAATCTTTTCAATAATACCTTATGCTTTACAAGCTTGGCTACATACCACCTGCAAGTACTAAAGTTAAGGGTGTACGTGAGTGGATTATTTGCTAGCACACAAACGAAGAAACAGGAAGCGAAAATCTATCTGTACCTGGTGCAACGAAAGCGAAGTCCTGTTGTGTACCATGGACTACTTCATTGATTATTACTCACTTTTGAAGTACTCAGTGTGTAATACAGTGTGTGAAACTGTATATATTGTAATTTTAGTGAATTTTTAACAAGTAATATTGCAACAATAAGCATTTATTGTGGACACATTACTGACACATGTATCACAGTTCCATGGAACATTATGAACGTTCTACTGTATACATATTGTAAAGGACACAAATATGCATCATATACGTTAACAAAAACAAATAAAACTGCATTGGAAATACATAGAACAAATAATTGAAAATATATTTGTGGCAACACCTGATGCTTGAATGGCCGCGCGACCGTGTCTGGGAGCTTCACGCATGAGAGACAAGCCCCTGATGATGTCAGAGCGCACCTTGTCCTTGCCCCACAGCCAAAGTATGTGGAATTTGGTATTTATTTTTGCACAGACATGTTCAGGCATGGGAATTTTTCATTTTATAAAGAAAAAAAGAAATTTTGGGGAACACTTGATATCATGTGCACAGGGGGAATTTCACAGTAAACTCGGCACATCACAGTGGTTAATAAGAACATCATTTATAACAAATATTTACTAACTTGTAGGATTTAAAATCATCTATATCAAGGCGAAGTTCATTATGTTCACGAGTAGCAATGACGACATGCCATTCACTGTCATTGTATTTATCATAGGAACCTGAAACAAGAGAACATTTTGTGTAATATAAGACGATAACAATACAGAACATCTATTACACACAATTTCACTTATTTAGTATATATCATGTTACTCAGCAAATTCACATATTAAACAGAAAACCACATCAAAGGCATTGTGAGATGAGTCTAAACTATACTTGTAAACTTTAAAATTGCTTTTAAGTACATGGACAGGGTAATAATAAAGAAGTTATTGATTACATTCATGATCTTGAAAGAGTATGCAGCAGTTATAGTGTCAAAATCTAGAAAACCAGCGTTGAATGTAATGGAACATCATTTTCTTGGTGAGCCCCAGAGGCTCCCAGGAGCTTATCTGGGCTAATGTATTTTATATTAGACTGGGACATTAGCTATGGAGTTCAGACCTACCAGGGACCATGAAACAAAACCTGGCCCCTCAGAGAGGTTTCAGGGAGAAATGGCCCTGGAAAACCTTCCCTGTGGTTGGGGGTTTTCCTTATCTGCCATCGACTGAGGTTAGGCACCCAGAAAGGTAGGCATAACAAAACAAACCCCACATTATAAGAAACTAACAACAAAAACTGAACAGAAAGGTAGAGCTCCCTTCAACCCCAAGGAAATATGCAAACAAGCAAATGTAACACTACTGCCACATTGCTCGTCTGCGCAGCCCTCCCATCCCCGAGAGGGAGGGGGGGGGGCCGGACCTCACTGTGCCGGCTGCATAACACTCCAGTTCAGAAGCTAAGCTTCAACCAAAGCGAAAAAACTGCCGACCGGTGGGAGGGAGGGTTGCCAGGGAGCCTCCTGGGGCTCACCCAGAAAATGGCGTTTCATTACATTCAATGCTGGTTTTCTGAGGGAAGCCCCTATGGCTTCCTGAAGCTACATATCCAAAGAGAAGGAAAAGAGAGGGCTGAACCAGGAGACAGCCGCAACAAACTCCGCAAAGCACAAAGCGCAAAGTCGAGAGAAAAGGTTGCAACCTGCAACCTAAAGCAACACAAACCAGGAGCAGATACACTCACAAAATAATTGAAGGCCAGGACCCTGTGCGACCTTCAAATCCCCACGAACAAATATGAGCTCAAGACATGTTACCAAACACGGCAACCAAAGCTGCAAACAGCTGAACGGCAGGGGCGCAAGGATAGACTGCAGGCTGGCTAGACTGAAGAACCCTGTGGACGACCTGGGAGACCCAAGCCCTGGAACAGAGAATGAGGGAAACCAAATCAACCCAAAGTGCATCCCCAGCCACCACAACTGAGGCACGCAGGTAATGGCGAAGAGCCGCAACCGGACACAACACATGATGCACCCCCGGCTGAACGAATCAAGTATCAATAACCCAGGGGCCCCTCCCGAAAGCAGCCATCTCGGTCTTCGCCAGAAAAGACGGAGAAGGCTGCAAAGGTACAAACCAACCACCTGGACTGAAAGAGTAGAAACCCCTGCACCGGAGGTGAGCAGGAAGCTCCCCGACACGACCCAGGCAAGAGAGCAATGCCCCTGGAAAAAAAAAACTGTAGTTGGGGGGTTTTACTTATCTGGCATCGACCGAGGTTAGGCACCCAGAAAGGTAGGCATAACAAAACAAACCCCACATGGTAACAACAAAAACCGAACAGAGAGGTAGAACTCTCGACAATCCCAAGGAAACAAGCTAACATAATACACTACTGCCACGCCGCTCATCCACGCAGCCCTCCCCTCCCCGAGAGAGGGAGGGGGGGGGGTGTCCTGGATCTCACCTTGCCAGCTGCATAGCATTTCAGTTCGTAAGCTAATGTCAACCGGGGCAGACGCTTCTCTGGCCTCAGTTTCCTAGGCGGTGTTTGCCTCTGTAGCGCTCACTGCTGTGTTTTGTGTTGTGTGGTGGCCAGGTGTTCCTCATCAGTACCGGGGCTGCATGCACTTAGGGGATTCCTTTCCTAAGCGCCCTGTGAGTACTGCCCCTGCGTGACAGGGTTATCTTCCCTGGGGCGTTCAGAACCCATTCTCGTCTTGCTGCTTGTTGGCCTTGGGTAGGGAGTGGTATCATGCTGGTTGGGGCACCAAGGTGTTGAGCAACCTGCTACCTACGCGGTGACCGGTTCCTGTTGCCTCTGGAGACGGAGTACTTTTGTGGGGTTTTATTTTCTTTTTATTCTCATTTGCCTGATGGGGGTCTACCTAGTGTGACTATAGTTCGACTCATGTTGTTTGGTAGCCCTTTGCTAGGCCCCCATGATTGTACACATCGCAGGGGTTTTCAGTGTTAGCATCCTCCCTTGTTAGCTTTGGGTGTTAACTGGTTAGCGACACCTTGCCCAGGCTTCCTGTAGTTGTTACCCTACGGGTCCCTGGAATACCCTGTTAGGGCTTGGTGGACCACTGGATGTGTCTTTCGGGTTCCAACCCGTCTTGTGCGGGTTTGTTGGTTGTGGTGCCCTTGTCTCAGGGCGACAGTCTCCTCTTTTACCTCCGTCATGCTGCCTGTTGGGTCACTGACACCTTGACCCGGAGTCTTGCGAGATGTGTTCTCTGCTTGTTCTCCAGTACTCTTCTGATGTCCTTACTATTCAGAATACAGGTGGCATCTGCATTGGAAGCTTGGTTTAGGTTGCTACAACGCTCTAGGTTGGTTTCCCATCCGGATGCCCCGGGGCCACCACGCCTTGGTTAGGTGTTATTCGTCCTTTTCCTCCTCCCTGTTCCCGGCTCCTTGATCGTCTGTGGGTTTCGGGGCCGGGGCAGTGTTTAGTTGGTGCCGAGACTCGGGTGGCTTTGGGGGCTGCCCCGTTCAGGTTAGGGACGAAGGTTTTCGAGCCTGTTCCTCCTGCTGAGGTTTCTGGGTCTTTCCAGCGGCCCTTTCTTTGCTGCCTTTCCTCTGGAATCTTCCTTTTCTTTAAGGGCAGTGGGTGTGAAGGACGACTCCACCTCGAGACCTCTATTGTGGGTTCTCGAGGCTGTGGGGGATACCTGCTAGCAGTTCTGGGGCTGTTTGCACCTGCCTGAGTTTTCTGCTTCTGGGCAGAGTTTTTCTTCCCTCTCGTCTGCTTACTTCCTACATTTGCTGGCGTGTTGTTCAATCTATTGCGTTGGTCACGGCTCCTTTGTTCTGGTGTCCATTTTCTTTCTGCAGGGTGCTCCCCCCCTGGCCATCGGGCCAGCACTCCAGTTTGTTTTCATGTGCCTGGGTGTGCGAGCTCGCATTTTGGGTGAGTTTTTCACCTCCTTCAGGGGTTTTATTTGCCTGTGGCAATTTTCTTGTCTTTTCTAGGGTTTTCTGCCTGTCTTCTGTTCCTCTGGGAATGCTTGGGGTGTTGGTTTTTACACCGGTTTTTGCATTTTCTATCTGTTTGGGTCTGGGCCCTGGGGTTTGGGCTCAGTGTCCCTGTCTGTTTATGCTTGCTCCCACACCTTGTATCCTTCGGTTTTTGGTCCATTTTCGCCGTTTCACTGGGGGTTCTGACTGGGTGCTGTGCTTTGCCCTTTCTGTGGTGTATTTCCGCCTGCAAATGTGATGGTTTGGGCTCCGCAGGGTTTGATTCTGAGTTCCTTTGGGTTCTTTGGTTTGGTTCCGGAGGTTTCTTCCTCTTGGGCCAACTTTGGGGGTTCAGGAGGCTTTTGTTACCTCGTGTGTGACCCAGTTCTGCCTTCTGGGGTTCCGGGGTCTTCCTGGCTTGCAGGCTGATCTTTTTGGGTTTTGGCACGTGTTGTGGTCGTGCTGGGGCCTTGGATTTTGTTGTCGCGGAGGGCCTTTTGCTGTGGATTTTGTGCTCTCTTTCTGCCTTCTTTGTCTTGATGGTATGGTGCTCTCTTGTCTTTTTCTTTTCTTTATTTTTATTTTTATTTTCATAGGTATATATATATACTGTATACATTTTCTTTCGGAAGGGGCCCTGATCCCTTCGCTGTTGATGGGGCGCAGGGGGTGTGGCTTGCTCTGTTGGCTCTTGATTGGTCCCGCAGTTCGTGGGCGTTTTTCAGTTGTCTTCCAGCATTTGGTGGAGTTGGTCGGCTCCTTCCCCTTTGGGGGGTTCGGGGCTCACGGGGTGGGCTTCTTCCCCTGCGCTTCGTCATGTCATCTTGGTGTGGGTGCGTTTGGACGTGTTCGATCCGCCTGTTCCAATGCCGACTGTTTGATCCTTTCTTTCTTGGCTTTTTCAGGACCATCATTTGATGCCTAATACTAATAATGATGCGTTGTATCATGCAGCGCTGGCGGAGCCGCTCCAGCTTGTCTTCAGGGTTAACGTCACAACTGCCCCGTTCCGTATGCTTTCTCATGCTTTGTTTCATCTCCGGCTTGCTCATGCACCACCTGAGCCGTCCTGGTCCTTGGTCGGGGTGCTCTCTTATCTTTCCTCTCCTCGATTTGTGGTTGCCCCTTCGATTTAAGATTGTTTTTCAAAGGTCCTGTTTTTGTTGGCATTGACCTCTGGGGGTCGTGTCGGGGAGTTTCCAGCTCACCTCCGGCGCAGGGGTGTCTGCTCTTTTGGTCCAGGTGGTTGGTTTGTACGTTTGCAGCCTTCTCCGTCTTTTTTGGCGAAGACCGAGATAGCTGCTTTCCGAAGGGGTCCCTGGGTTATTGATGCTTGGTTGGTTTGGCTGGGGGTGCATCATGAGTTGTGTCCGGTTGCGGCTCTTCGCCATTACCTGCATGCCTCGGTTGTGGTGGATGGGGATGCACTTTGGGTTGATCCAGTTTCCCGCGTTCCCGGTTCCAGGGCTTGGGTCTCCCAGGTCATCCACAGGGTTCTTCAGTCTAGCCAGCCTGCGATCTATCCTTGCGCCCGTGCCGTTCGGCTGTTTGAAGCTTTGGCTGCCTTGTTTGGTAACATGTCTTGAGCTCAAATTCGGGCGTGGGGATTTGGAGGTCACACAGGGTCCTGGCCTTCAATTATTTTGTGAGCGTGTCTGTTCCTGGGCGTTCTTGTGTTGCTTTAGATCGCAGATTGCAACTTGTTGTCTCAACTTTGCGCTTTGCGGAGTTTGTGGTGGCCGCCTCCCGGTTCAGTCTCTATT